TATATGCATGAAAAGTTGCTCAACCTCATCATTAATCAGAGAAATGCAAACAAAACCATAATGAGGTACCATTTCAAATCCATCAGATTGGGAAATTAAAGTCGACAGTTTCAAATGTCGGTGGTCATATGGAGAAATGGGAACTCTCCCACCCTGCTGCATTAAGTGTGAATTGGTACAAGCACTTCAGAGACCAAGTAGACAATATTTAAAGGTGGAGATATATAAAGATGCTTATACCCTTCGACCCAGGATTTCACTCACCAGTATATGAATTACATAGGTTGACATGGGTCTATATCCTAGGTTCCCACACTTGTGTTTGAGGAGACATTTATAAGAATGTTCATTGCAACCTTGTAATGATGAAAATGGGAAACAATCTAATTTCTATCAACAAGAACATGGGTAGATACATTTAGGTATATTCAAATAATGAGCTACTGTACATCAGAAGAAATTAATGACGCGCAACTATGCATGTTATATTGGACGATTTTTTAAAAAGAATTTTTAAAATTTTTATTTATTTGACAGACAGAGATCACAAGTAGGCAGAGAGGCAGGCAGAGAGAAAGGGGGAAGCAGGCTCCCTGCCGAGCAGAGAGCCCAATACAGGGCTTGATCACAGGACCCCGAGGTTATGACCTGAGCAGAAGGCAGAGGCTTTAACCCACTGAGCCAACCCAGGTGCCCCTGTGAATGATTTCCAAAAACATAATCTTACAAAAAAAAGTTTTAGGAAGTATTGTGCCATTTTTATAAAACTTAAAAATATGAAAAGGCAATATATTTGGGAATACTAGATATGTCTATTTCTAGTACCAATATTAAAAAATGTATGGGAATAATAAACACTGATAAAAAACACATATGTTGGGGTGCCTGGGTGGCTCAGTGGGTTAAAGCCTCTGCCTTCTGCTCGGGTCATAACCTCGGGGTCCTGTGATCAAGCCCTGTATTGGGCTCTCTGCTTGGCAGGGAGCCTGCTTTCCTTCCTCTCTCTCTGCCTGCCTCTCTGCCTACTTGTGATCTCTGTCTGTCAAATAAATAAATAAATAAGTAAAAATCTTAAAAAAAAACCATATTTTTTTCTCTGGCAGGGGAAATGAAATCCGGGAGGGTAACACAGAGCTTCAGCTGTAAATGTGATGCTTTATTTCTTAAGGTGGGTGATGGCTATTCACTATCAGTTATCTTAGATTGAAATATGTCACTTAAGTAGCACTGTGCTTACTGTTCAGAAACATGGCCAGAGAGGGAACAGGAATTGGGAGGAGGAGGTGAAGGAAGGTACAGAAGACTTGTTTTTTTTTAAAACCTTGCACTCCTGGTTGACCTTTTAAACCATACACAGTTGTGGCTTCAATAAGAGTCGACATTAAAAAATAATAACAGTTTGAGTCAGGGAGTGATATGTGATATATCTCTGTAAGATTTTCATTTGTAGTTGCTTTATCTCAGTGCTATTCAAATAGGGCCCTTAGACAAGTGTGGGTTGGTGATCTAGTCTGCCATGAACTAAATATAAAATCAAGCCTAAGTGTTTGGAAGCTATTACAGCAATTTTATTTTGTTTTACTTTTATTTTTTATTTTGTTTCATTTTTTAAAGTAGGTTCCATGTTTAGTGTGGAGCCCAATGTGGGGCTTGAACTCATGACCCTGAGATCAAAACCTGAGCTGCGATCAAGTGTCAGACACTCAACTGACAGAGCTACCCAAGTGCCGGCTTTTACAGCAATTTTACAGAGATTTTATGTATGTTAAATCTAATAATTAAAATGGTATTATATTTTATACTGCACTATAATTTCTTTTTTTATTTCTAGAAATAAACTCTTATTTTACAGTAGTGTTGGAGGGCAATGAGATGAAAACAAACCGGTCCTGCACAAATAATTGAAGATCCATTGCTCTGCCTTAATGAAAATTGATATCTACATGATTTCTTTTTCTATAATGTGTAACTTTTCTTGTTCATTGGGGATCTTGTGCTCTCCTCGTGAAACATTAATGTTCAGTGTGGGAGTCCAGAATTGTTTGGTTTGGTTCTGGATATGCGCCTTGCATATAAAGATGTGGCTATTCTCTGCATGCATTTTCCCCCGAGACACACATTTATATAGTTGTAACTTCCTGTTAGTAAACAGTAAGTCTTTAAATTTAGAATTAGGTGGGGAGGCTGACAGGCAGAAGGGTAACAAACTGGGTTGTTTTCAAAGTCGCGTCTTTTCTGGTTAATTGTTAACTCCCCCCTGGGCTGCTTTTCTTTTATCAAATATCACACGGTGTGTGAAAACACTACAGATAGGGTTTACGGCAGCTCGTGGAGTTTTTGCATGACAAATGGACCTTATACTACAGGGGAATGAAAGATATACATTAATAAAACATTATCGGAAGAGAACAACACCAAACCAAATCTCTTCACCAGTGCTTGACAGCAAACCTCCAGAGAACTTTCAGGCTGTGTGTGGCCTCTAGCCTGGGATCCAAAATCTGTATAATGGCTTGTGGAGACAGTAGGAACCCAGTCTTCATGGGATTCTGTCTGTAAGGTGCGGCTCGGGGGGTCGGGGGTGGCACTCTGAAATGTCCAAATATACCTGGTTTAGATCTCCTTTTCCCCTCAAGAAAGACTCCTTTTTTAAAAAATTACTTTTTCTGAAGCCAGATTACTCACTTCCAGGGTTCTCTTACACCTGCCACTTTCCAAGGGAATTTTTTTTTGGTATAATCCCTTAATCTTTCTGGAAGGCTAACAAAACATTGCATATAACCGACTTTTGCCTCCAAAACACCCTATTCTTTTCCATAAGGCTTTTTAAAGGACTTTATTATTTGTTCTCTGGGTTCATTTAACTCTATTAACATATCCATTTAGCATCTTTGCTCTGTTTTCTTGTTATTTCTCATTTCATTCTTTACATGTTACTTAGGACTTCAGTGTGAGTATAGTATCTTCCACTCTCATACCAACGTGCCATTCTAGGATTCTCATAATTAATATTTAGCTTGGCTTTGCATTTCATTCTCATGCTCTTTTAATTTTTTCCTAAAGCTCATTTGTTTGTCCCTACACCCCAGGTGGGACTTAAACTCAGGATCCCAGCTCAAGAGTCGCATGCTCCACGGACTGAGCCAGCCAGGCACCCCTTTCTCCCTCTTTTAGAAGGAGGAAAATGAGGTGGAAGGCAACAAAGATAGACCTTTGAAAGCCTTGTACTACCAGAGGTCTCGGCAGTAGATTCTCTGCTTCTGCTTTTTAAAAGCCTCCTCCCCTCAGGGCTGTCCCAACCCACTGAGTTTAGAGTTTAACTGAAGTGGGAGACGTTGATGATGGTGTCACCAACCCGAGAGGTTAGGGGATGTAGCCCCCCCCCCCCATCATGTTTCTGAGGCAACACGGTCATGGGTAAGGACAAGGTGGTAGAGGGAGAACAGGTAGCGGAAGACGTTCCCAAAGATGAGGGGTACCAATAGCCGATTCATGGCTTATTCCCTAAAGCTCTGAAGCAACTCGAGTGGCTCAGTTGGGCGGCTGCAGAGGCCAGGGTAGAAGAGCAGGATGACGTCCTACAGCGCCTGCAAGTTGACACGAGGTCACGGAGAGCCAGGACAAGTTTAAGTATATGCAAACATGCTGGCGGCGCCGCGTCGGGCCAACGGGGACAGCTCAGGACCTGAGGAAGCCATCCCAGAAGTCGAGACCAGGCGCTGGCAGGAATGCCTGCCCACAGCTCGGAATCCCTCCTCGAGGCAGGTGAGAAACAAAGCCGCAGAACAGCTGACAGCCAAGGTCACGTGACGAAGCCCCAGTTCGACTCTAATTGGCTATAATGGCTCACGGCCTCTCCCACTGTTGTCACGGTCTCTCCCGCTGTTGTCACGGTCTCTCCCGCTGTTGTCACGGTCTCTTCGGAAACTACATTTCCCAGAAGGCCCCGCAGGGCTCAGCTCCTCCTAGCTGGTTAGATGCGGGTCGTGCCCGCTTTGCCCAGCCTCTACGGGGCTTTGAGAGGCAAGGAAGAAGGAGCCCGGGGGGAGAAACCTTCTGGATTAGAACATCCCGCACACTGGAGGCAGGGAGGAGAGTCGCGGCTCGGCCCCTCCTTTTGCGCATAGACCTTTGGGAAATGTAGTAACACGTAGGTTTCTGGGGCCTGTGGCTCTCACCTCTCCCCGCGGTCGCTGCTAATGGAGCGGGAACCAGTGGGGAGGCGGAGGGTCCCGGCGAGCCTTCCACACTGGCTCTTCCTTCTCCATCAGGTGGCACAGCGCGCGAACGTCTGCCCATCCACCTCCTGGTTATCCCATGCTGGGATACCCTTCTACCCTATCGCCCTGAGAATTCTGCAAGCTTAGATTTCCACGAGGTACTGTTTAGAGGGATCTGCTGAGAAATGGAAAGACTATTTTAAAAGAAACAAATGATGGCGGCCCTACATTACTCCCCTCCTCTGTGTTGCTCACCGGACGCTTTATGAAGGGACACTAAACCATGGCGCTACGCGAATGGGGGATCCATTTTATGTTTGGACTTCCCATCCGGCGCTGATTTCCGCTCTCCGGGAGGGTCAGCTGGTCCTGCCGGTATTCTCAACTCCGGGCTGCCCACTTTTGGGCCACTAAGACCGTCGGCTGTAGCCCGAGCCTGCCTTGGAGGGCATTCGTTCTGCCAGCTGCGGGGGTCACGGTCTTATTTTACTGAAGGGAAGGCTGAGGGTGTGGTGGGTAAAAGGTTGTTGACGAGTCTGTGCGGCTAGTCGTGCCGTCCGCTCGCTGCGGCTGGAGCAAAGTCTGACTCCTGTCTCACACCCGTCCTGTCCACCTCGCGTGGTGGTAATCCCCTTTTCTCAGTTTTGTTGCCTCGGGTTAAGTCATAATCATGCCGGCCATTCTAACGGTCCCATCCCGCCAGTGTTTATTGGGAGTGTGCTTAGTGCCAGGCATTGCGCCTGGGGACACGGGGTTAAAAGGGGGTGGTGGTGGGGGGGACGCGGCCCCACCCTCACGGAGTTTACCGTCTAATGGGGAAGACAGTGGTCACAGCACACAGATAGGAGTAAAATGTCAAATTGTGGTAAGTAGAAAAAAGAAACAGGGTGCTACAAGAGAGAATGAGAGGGAGCCCTAAGTTAGATTGGGAGATTCTGGAAAGGAAGAAATGCCTTATCTGAGACCTGGAAGCTGAGAAACAGGAAGCTCTGTGACACCCAAGAAACGAGTAATGTAGGCTGGGGGAACAGCAAGTTCAAAGGCCCTGGGGTAGGACTTAGTGTTTTGTGATTCAGGGAACTGAGAGGGGGGCACCTGGGTGGTTCAGTTGGTTAAGCATCTGCCTTTGGCTCAGGTCATGATCCCAGGGTCCAGGGATTGGGCCATGGGGGCTGGGTGTGGGGTCTCTGCTCAGGGAGGAGCCCGCTGCTTCCCTATTTTTGCCCCTCCCTCCTTTCCCTCCTCCTCATGCTCTCTCTCTTTCTCTCTCAAATAAATAATGAAAATAAAATCTTTTTAAAAAGGGATGAGAGAAGCCTTTTGTGACTGGAGCACCGTGAAGTAGGGAGCGAATAGAGCAAATAAAGGCTGGCCTCCCTTCCTCCAGTCTTGCCTCTTTGAAGGCAAGCACCGGCAATATAGAAACATTCTCAAAATTCAAATACGATTTTACTCCCTTTTGGAGGCTTCATGTTCCCTGCAAGTCAAACTCCTTGGGCCCGGTGCTCAAGGACCCGCATCACTGTATTGACCTTGCTCTCCAGTCTCCCTTTTTTGTCTCTGCTTGGTATGCGTTATCCCACGTGCTTGCTGAGCAGGCTGACTTTGATTCGCCCTTCCTGTCCTGGTCACAGAATTGCTTCCTCCGTGTTCCTCTCCGGTGCATGCCCCACACTAGCTATCTATGATTGGTTTGCCTACTAATCTCTAAGCTGCTGCTCTCAGGAACTTGTTTTCTTTCTCTGTATGATGCAGAACGTGAGGCCAGGCAGTTGGCATTTTTATAACAAATTTCCACGGAGACACTGAGTGGGACAGGTAGCCATCACTAGCCTCCACGTGATACCTGATGAGAAGGCAATGTGGGGCTCCTGTCCACAGCAGAGTAGAAATCATCCAAAGGGGGCAGAAGATATGAGTAAGAAATCTGCACATTTCATGGCCAGGCACTGTCTCATCCACTGTCTCATTTAACCCTCATGACAAATGTGGGTCTTAGATTCCTTTTGCAGTCAAGAAAGCTGGTGAGCAGAGGCTTGCCCAGAGTTCACCCAACTGGTAATAAGGAACCTGGGATAGGAGCCTAGATCTTTCTGACCTCAAAGCTTGAGGCCCTTAATACTCCCTTCGCTCCTTTTGCTCCTATTCTGGCTCCTTTCCCCAGTGCAAGAGCCTGAGAAGTTTTTTTGTTTTTTGTTTTTTTAAGATTTTATTTATTTATTTGACAGATAGAGATCACAAGTAGGCAGAGAGGCAGGCAGAGAGAGAGAGAGGGAAGCAGGCTCCCTGTTGAGCAGAGAGCCCGATGTGGGGCTCAATTACAGGACCTCGGGATCATGACTCAAGCTGAAGGCAGAGGCTTTAACCCACTGAGCCACCCAGGTGCCCCTAGGAGCCTGAGAAGTTCAAGGAACTGACCTCCAGGTGTCTTCTATCTCAGGTAGGTCATTTTCCCCCAAGAATATCAGATCTGGAACAGCCATTGCAGTGGGGCTCCAGCCCTTCCAGAAGCCAGTGACTCATTTCAGTCTCTGCTTTTGTTAGTATTTACAGGGTTTAGAAGAACTGGTAATACTCAGATGCAGAAAATCCAGGAAAGGACACTCTTGGATTTGCTATCCTGTAGAATTCTGCCTTATAGAATTCTCTGAGATGATTAAAATGTTCTATGACTATGCTGTCCAGTGTGATAGGGTTCCTACTTCGATAGTAGCTCCATGTCCTCACTCCCCTGGAAGTCTCTGACTCCAGGGTGTCCAAGACAGCTCAGTCTGAGACTACAGACCCCTGGGCTAGATCTTCAAGGGCCCTCCAGATCCAAGCTCTCTACCTTAGCTGTGGCTCAAGCCATGTCTAAGAATACACATCAGGGTACAAACGGATATGGCCAGTGCCATATCGTTGATCTCGCCACTCCAGCATCCTCCAAGAGACTGGCCCAGAGCAGATGCCAGGTTTACACTGGATGAATGAACTTACTTTCTCTGCCCCAGGCTTCTACAATCCCTCCCTATCATGTGGACGAAGGGCTTCCGCCTTCCAGGGAAGGTGAATGAAACCAGTGTTTCGTCACCATCTCCTCCATCCTGACTTCCTGGGGTGTGTGCCAAGGTGCAGCTGAAAACCAGTGAGTAATAATTCCTTGGAAACATGCTGGATCTAGCATTTTTATGTGACAATCTGATTTTTATTTTGAAACTGTGCAAAATGAAAGCCCATATAAGCATCGGCTCTGTATGATTAGAGGCAGTGTGGTTCTGGGGAAAGAAGGCTAGTCTCAGGATCACCCCAGACCTCACAGGCTCTGTTGGACAAGGGGCTCAGTACCTTTGAGCCCCAGTTTTCTCATGAGTAAAACAAAAACATTAGACTCTACTCTTCTTCCTTGTTAATGTGAAGGCTTAAAAAATGGCTGCTCACTCCCGCAGTGAGCCTACATGAAGTACCTTTCAAGTGATCGTTTGCCTGAATCCGGTCTATTTTCATGGTTTAGTTTTTCTAACACCTTTCGCTTAACCCTTCTACCACTGGTGCCTTTCTCATTTGCAAGGTTTTCACTAGTTTTTGGCTTCTTTGGATTCCAGTAGATAGTATTGGGTGCCAGCCATTGAATCACCTGCTCCTTTGCCCTACCTGGAGCTTCTTAAATGCCCAGCATTCTGAACTCCCTGACAAAGCACTGAGAGAGATTCCGGTTTCCCTCCTCTTCCGTTCTTCCCATTCCTACTTCCCCAAAAAAACCCCAACAAATCAAGAAAAATCCCGGAGGTTTCTATTTTGGCAGTTAGCACTCTTACCACTAGATGACGCATGTGTGCAAGTCATCAGTCTTAAGACAAAGACTCTCTCTCTTTTTTTTTTTTTTAATGTTTTTATATTCCACCTCAATCCACAAAAGCTTCGAGAGGAATTATACAAGTACAAAATATGCAAAAGGATAAAATGAAAAGTTGAAGGGATTGGAGAAAATAGAGAACAAGTGGGCGAGGTAACTCCAGGATGGGTCCTTGGAGGGAGGAGGACACTGAACAGCAAAACAAACACCAGTGACTTCCGTGGAGCTGTTTCCGTGGGTCCTTCCATGCAGGCCTATGCTGTGATAGTACATGAGGAAACACAGTTCTCTGCAGCGCAGACACCAGGTTACCAGACCTGGTGAATTGACTGCTGCATGCCTTTGTATTTTCAAAAAGTGAAATATGCACCCACCTCCTGTCCCCCACTGAGGTTTGGGTAGAGTTTGGGACCAGGAGGCTCTCCTTGAGGCTGTGGTCACATTCCCCAGTGTGGTACCCCATGACCACCCTTGCCTCCTGGTTTTCACACCCGGTGGAGTCCCGTCCTCTTCCTGCCCCTGCCACATACTAGGGGGGTGGTCTGTGTGACCAACAGAACATAAGAGGAGTGATGGCATGTTGTTTCTAAGGTTGGGATATAGAAGACATCAGACATCTCTTGGTGTCTTTGTGTCTTTCTTTGTCTCTGTCTTTCTATCAGATCATTTGTTCTGGGGAAAGCTAGCTGGCATGTCATGAGAAGCCCTCTGGAGAGACCCACGTAGCAAAAAACTGAGGCCTTCTAGCAATAGCCAGCATTCATTCGCTAGTCATGTGTGCAAGCCACCTTGGAAGCAGATCCTTCAGCCCAACGGACACCTTGACTAAAATCCTATGAGAGACCCTGAGGAAGACCATCTGGCTAAATCCATCCTTAGTTCTGCGAGATCTTAAGTGTCCTTTTCAAGGGCTAAGTTTTAGTGGTAGTTTGTTACACAGCAATAGCTAACTAATGCAGAGGCCAATGGAAACCCAAGGTTGCATTGGAGGTAATTTTGCATGGGTGGGTCAACTTGGTCTTAGAGGCCAAGGAAATATTTCAGAAGCAATGTGTATGGGCTTTAAATCTGATAGACGTGGGCACCAATTCAGGCTGTGTCTGTGGAAAGACAGAAGTACAAGTCCCCACGTGAAATGTCTGCAAAGGTTTCTTTGCAGGTTGGTAAGGGCAAGGACCTCAATTGTCTTACTCACTGTGGCACCCTCATGGCCTAGTGCAGGGCCTGGCACGTGGTGGTCATCCTAAAAAAATATATTTTTTTAAGATTTTATTTATTTATCAGAGAGAGAGAGACAGAGAGGGCATATATGCAGAGAGAGAGGGAGAAGCAGACTCCCTGCCAAGCAGGGAGCCTGATATGGGGCTCGATCCCAGGACACTGGGATCATGACCTGGGTCAAAGGCAGACGCTTAACAACTGAGCCACCCAGGTGCCCGTCTACAACTCTTTCTTTAATGGATACATGAATGGTGAGCTATAACTCTGACTGAGCCATTTAATTTTCTGGAAGACATTCATTAAGCTCCTACTGTGTGCAAAGTACGTAATGTTGGTTAAGCTTCCATGGAACTTTTGTGTCCTCTGCAGATGACATGCACCTTTCCCCCTATCATGTCTCCCCTCACTCTGTATTTTCTCCTCGGAATTCTTTATTATTTTTGTAGAGCCTTGCATGGGCTTTGGATTGCGTTCTGAAAACATTCTCATGAGAGTAGTGTTCTTAGGCCATCATGACAAGTAATTTCTTGTTAGGAGAAATTTTTCCAACAGGAGATATATCAACCCAGTATACTGGATTTATTTTGTGTAGTTGTGTTTTAGGGCCTGCCCTAATTTTTTTCTTCTTCCTCCCACTGCTTTCTTTAAAAAAAAAAAAATCTGAAATGGCTAATGCTAAGTTATAGTAGTTCAATTTCCCTGTAATAACTTTCTAGAGTCTATTTCCCCCCTTTCATCTGACTTTGGCGCTGATTTAACCAGATCTTCCCGTAACAGAAACATTCTGGGGGTGAAGGAGAATCAGTGATTTGCCTCAGACCCTTGTCCACCCCGCCCCCTCCCAAGTATAAACAGTCCTTCCTCGGTAGCTAGCTCTGCAGGACTTCCCCATGCCCCCTCCGTCCCCCCCCTTGTCCCCACACAGCTATTATTTATTGAGTGCCCGCCACACGCCCATCCCTGTGTTATGCAGGTGTTACAGGCCTTATTGAATCTGCGCTGGGGACTGTGAATTGCCTTGCTGATTTTGTTAGTCCAGGTCCTTCGAGGAGCAGACACCAGAATGGGATTAATTGTATAAGGATTTTACTAGGGGAAAAAATGCCTTTCAAAGGAAATAGTGAGAAGGCTTAAAGGCCAGGAGGGCCATCACACCCCAAAGGAAGGGGACACAGGGAGACAGTTGGGTACAAGTGTCCCAGTGTACCCTGCATTTTCAGGAAAATTCGGTCTCACGAAGTTTTGGGAAAGCTGTCAGGGAGTCCTTGAGCTAAAGCCAGTCGGCAAAGGAGTCGGGGCCTTGTCTTTCGGGACTGGGTCTGACTTTGCCCCCAACCAAACTCAGTCATTGGTGGGGTGCAGCACATGGGAGGTGTGGCCAATGAACGTCAAAGCACAGCAGCTGGTGTCTTCAGCTCTAAGCAGTAAAAGTCTGTGGAAGCCCACTTCTGTGGCTGCCCCCCTCCCCCCACTTATTCTCCTTTCTTTTTAAGTAACAGAAGCCTGATTTATTTGGGTGGCCAAGATGTGATGCCGAACTAGGAGATTTTAGGTCCCTGCCTTCCTTGCAACAGGTTGTGGCTCTATGAGTGTATTTACGAGTAGTCACGTAACGTAAGCAGCAGTGTTGGGAGGACCTACCAGTAGCGCTCCTCGAGGGGATCTGAGTCAGCCGGGAGGTACCTGCCATGTCCCCTTCTCTCTGTCAGGACTAAAGACAGAATGGCTGCACCCTCGGTGGTCATTTTGCGCCAAGAGGCAGTTTGTTAATAACGGAGGGACAAATACACAAATAGCAAGAGTCTACGTCCTAACGAATAGAGACCTCACGTCCACTCTGGATGGCCTGGTTCCAAACTTTAACCTGAGAGAAACACCCCCCTTTTTTAAGGTCATTGTTACCTTGTGTTGTAAGCAGGTAAATCTAATTCCAGTTGGTACAGTATCTAATCTTCACCATGCCTCTGCCATGCAGGCATATTTATGCCCATTTTACAGATGAGGAAAATGAAGCTTAGAATGAGTAAGTGTTAGATTTAGAGCCTGGGGTGGTACTGAGGATCCTTTGAGCTGTGAATAACAGAACAGTGTTTATCATTCTTTCCTGAAGACAAGAACTGCCTGGGAACTTGCTGAACACACAGATAGCCAGTCCTCTCCCTTGGATGTCCTCGTTCGACAGGTCCAGGTTAAGGTCTGAGAAGCTATTTTATCTTTGACGGACAGCCCGGCCCATCATTACCCTCTGGCAACAGGGTGAATCCCCTTGTGGGTAAGGACCGACACCAGGCAGCTCAAACAGCGAGGAGGTAAACGCTTCCCGTAAGAAGACGTCTGTGAGCCCAGGAGCTTGACAGAAATACAGATTCTGGCTTTCCTTTCATAGACTGGGAATCAGTAGATCTTTGTGGAACCCGGGAGCTGGCCCTTTTCAGATGCTTCCCCAGGGGATCCTGATGCCTGTGGTCCAGGGACCCTGTTTTCACTGCTGGGAGCACAGCCCTGGAGTAGGATGGGGCTGGGTTTGAATCCTGAGGCTGCCCTTTATTGGCTGGGTGACCTGTGTGTCATTGGTTTCGTCATTTTGGATTTGAAGAAAATGGTAAGGGCTACCTGAGTTGTGAGGGACTCAGAGGACTCAGTGACATTGAATTCCAGCCTGTTAACTTGCAGTGTTATAGAAATTGACAGAAGGTTCAGTTACGGTGGGTAAGTTACACAAATCCCCAGGGAACCAAGGTTCCCAGGAGGCTGGTCCCGGAGCTGGGACTCCCCCTTTCTCTGTGCGGCTACTTCTGGCCTTGAGAGTGACCGATGTGCCTGTGTATGAAGAAGCTGAGTAAAGGTCTTCTAGAACATGCTCCCGTGTTCTCCCAGCTGCCACCTACCTCCCTCTGGTCCCCTTCTTTGCAAGTCTGCCCAAGAGTCGTCTGCACTCAATGGATCCATTTTCTCCCCTCTGGCTCCCTCCTCAGCCCACTACAATCCGGATGCTGACGTCACTGCTTTGCTCAAGTGGTTCTCAGGGCTTCTGTCTTGCCAAATCTGAAGACAATTTTCTTTCTTTCTTTTTTTTTTTTTTTTTAAGATTTGTTTATTTATTTTTGAGTGAGTGAGCGAGTGCACCTGTGAGTTAGGGAAGAGGCAGAGGGACAAGAAGAAAATCTCTAGCCGACTCTGCACTGAGCACAGAGTCCGAAGTGGGGCTCCACCCCATGACCCCGAGATCATGACCTGAGCCAAAACCAAGAGTCAGCCGCTCAGCCCTCCCAGCCGCCTGGGCACCCCCATCAGTGGACATTTCAAAGTCCTCATGTCATTTGAGCATTTGCTGCCGCCGTGTCCTTGTTCCTTACTGGAACTTTGCTTTCTTGGCTCCCGGCACTCTCTTATTCTACTTCTCCTTCTGTTTTGTGGTCGGTGCTTCTAGCCTCTGCTGGACTTCTGCTTCAGTCTTTGTCTTACACGCTCTACTCTTTGCCCTTTTAATCCTCTATTTGCCTCTGATTCTTTCCCTGGTTCCTTTTCTTTCCCTGATCAGAGCCCGGTCATTGAGTTCCTCTAAGTTCCAGTGAATCATCTCCCTTCATAGGACACCCTGGTTTCATGCAACCCTTTCCTTCCTTTCTCCACGGGATGGCTAAAATCAGGCCCAAAGAGTGCTCCCAAGTCTCCTTCACATGTCTTCCTACAAGGCCTAGTAATATCCTCAAAAATGGAAAATGAGACTGGATTTGTTGTGGATCAGGCCCCAGAGGGACCCTGAGATACACTTAATTGTTCCAACTTATACTGGTATTAGAGACAGAATCACTCTGCAGGCTGAGTACATAACCTTCATGCCCTTACCTGGGATTCTGAGGCTTTCTGTCCAGGTCATTGCTCTTTTCAGAGGAGTGGGAGCCATTCCTCCTTCTATCAGGGACTTGTTTGACTTTGGACCTAGCTTGTACCTTTCTGGTTTCAGTTTTCTCATCAAAGAAATGCAGGAGATGGACTAATTTTCTCTGAGGTTTCTTCCAACCCCTGGCACCATCACAACCAGCTTTTTGATTTCACTCCCAGGAATCTATACAGAAACAGTCTTCCAAGGGCTTAAAGATGTATGTATGCTCCCTCGTAATAATCCAAGGGCCTATCAAGAAGGGATTGTTTGGGGGCGCCTGGGTGGCTCAGTCAGTTGAGCGTCTGTTTTTTGATTTTGGCTCAGGTCATCATCTAGGGTCGTGAGATCCAACCCCTCTTTGGGCCCTCTGCTCAGTCTTCTTGAGATTCTTTCCCTCTTTTCCTCCCCCACTTGTGCTCTCTCTCTCAAAGTAAATAAATAAATCTTTTAAAAAACCAAGGGATTGGTTAAATAACTTATGGTGTATACACTCAATGATGGCATTGCTCAAAGTACGCGTTCTGTTTGTTATTGGTCTCCTGGGAGATGAGGTACGTGAGCCAGAATGTCAATCAATGACTTTATCAAGAAGGTCTTACTAACAATAACAATATGTATATATGTTAAAGCAGCTGAAGTGAATAGTGTGTTTAGAGACATAGTTGCTTTGCATTCTGGTACAAGCTCTCCCTTACTTTTCTCAGGCCAGAACACTTAGGTCCTGGATTAGCACTGGTACACAGACCACACACTGAGTAGTGCTGGGGAGAAAAAAAAATTCCCCTCAATTCTTCTAAGTTCTTTGACTAGTTTACTAATTAAATCGACACAGGGAAGACTAACAGAGCAAAATGAACCAAAAAGTGTTATAACATGCATACCTCCTCTATCTGTGGGAGAGACTCAGCAAGACTGAGTAATCTGCTGAAATGTCCAAAGCCATCATCTTAAATACCATCTTCAGTTAGAGACAAAAGAAGATGATGGGGTTGGGGAGTCAGATATGGGAGGTCACCAAGAAAAGTGGAGTGAGTAAGGGTAGGGTTGCCATCCAGATTTAAATCCATGTCTTCTCCATTGATAAGAGCTTCTAGAGATCTAGACTCACTGCCCGCCCCCCCCCCCCCATTTCTTGGTACAGCTAGGGAGCCATCCTTACAAAAGGAGGTTTCCCTTATACAAAAAGGTAACTTCTGTTTGGTTTCAGAACTTCTCTTGTGTCTGCATTTTCTTAAAAATAACCAGCTTAGGGCACCTGGGTGGCTCAGTGGGTTAAGCCTCTGCCTTAGGCTCGGGTCATGATCTCGGGGTCCTGGGATCGAGCCCCGCATTGGGCTCTCTGCTCAGCGGGGAGCCTGCTTCCTCCTCTCCCTCTGCCTGCCTCTCTGCCTACTTGTGATCTGTCTCTGTCAAATAAATAAATAAATAAATCTTTAGAAAAAATAACCAGCTTAAAATAATGAGTATGCTAAAGAGACAGATCTTGGGGTGACAAAATTTGCTCCCCTTCAGCATCATCACTCAAGCTTCACAAAAATAAAGTAGCCCCACTTGTGCAGGTGTATAAAGATGTCTCAGATGCATTGTTTAAAAAAAATATGCTGCAGAGCAGTATGGTGTTTTCAGAAACAGGGATCTATACAAAAAGGGGTACCTAAGTGCACAGATGGGCTGATAGATGCATAAAGCATTTCTGGAACAAGTTTTGAGAAATTAACTGTACTTCCATCTGAGGAGTGGAGCTGGGATTCTGGGGTGAAAAATCTCTTTTTTGTCATATATCCAGACTGCTCTTCAGTGGGTCGTCTCTGGTACAGTGTCTAGAATCTCTTCCGATTGGTCTGTGCCCTTCTTGACACAGTTGTTAAACATTTTTGTCTTTTATCTTTTTTTTTTTTTAAGTGAACTCTACACCCAGCGTGGGGCTCGAACTTACGAACCTGAGATCAAGCTTTCTACCAAGTGAGTCAGCCAGCCACCCCAGTTGTCAAACATTTTGAATGTAAATCCTGCTATACTCTTTTACTCTTTTTTTAACCTATGTGCGTGTATCACTATCATATTTTTTAAAGATTTTATTTATTTATTTACGTATTTATGTCTTTATTGAGAGAGTGTGTGCATGAATGGGGGGAAGGGCAGAGGAAGAGGGAGAGAGAATCTCAAGCAGACTTCTTGCTGACCATGGAGCCCGATGTGGGACTTGATCTCATAACCCCAAGATCATGACCTGAGCCAAAATCAAGAGTTGGTCCCTTAACCGAGCCACCCAGGTACCCTTCACTTTCACATATTTTTTAAAAAGATTTATTTATTTATTTTGCGAGAGAGAGAACGAGCACATGTGAGGGGGTGTGGAGAGCGAAAGTGAGAGAGAGAATCTCGAGCAGACCCCCCCTGCTGAGTGTGGTGCCCAACTAGGGGTTCATCCTGACGACCCTGACATCATGACCTGACCTGAAAGCAAGAGCTGGTGCTTTAACCAACTAAGTCACCCAGGCACTCCCCTCACTTTTGTATTTTTAAAGCAGATTAGTTACAGAGTAAATACAGATGCTTCTTGAGTCTCTATTTGCTGATAACAAGTCTCCATTTTTCATTTTTTATGAACATTCCCTCTGTTCTCACCACTAGGCATGTGAACAAGGCAGTTCTCTCTGTCCTGGGCTTCGCAGCTCTTCTCCTGCAGCTATATTCACAGTAAGTCATTTCGGTTCACAGTTTAGAGATGAAGAAGGCCCAGGGGCCAGAGGACTGATTACAGTTCTAATTTACAATTATACAGTGATTTTTCACACTGCTCGTGGAATTCTTACTTCCTCCCTATTTGAGTTGGATGGTTAGAAGGATCCGATTTGATTGAAGTAGTATAGGCTGTGATTAGCCCAAGACTGTGGCATCTTCAGTTGAACTGGGAAGGATGGGGCAACAAATGCAAATTATTTCCTCACTCCCACACAACTGTGTACTTACTGCGTGCAGCCGACCCTGTGTAGAAAAAGAAATTGACTTCTCCTTTCCTTTGAAATGGGAACTGTTGGGACATCTAAGTGGCCTCATTAAACTCAAGATGCAAACAGCCAGTGCCGCTGTAGGAGTCTTGGGGGGACCTGAGACAATGTCCCTGGAGTCTGAGAGTTTTTGATTCAAATGCTTAAGGCCTATTTACTGTGGTTCTTGATGGAATTAAAAAAAAAAAAAGATTTGCTTTTAAATATATTTTGTCTTATTTCTGTGTTAGAGAGAATGTGGTTGGCCCTTGCCCCTGGTTCCTGGGAAACAACCTCTCAATCCTTAGAAAGTCCTCTGAGTAACGAAAGACCCTTTGTTATCCGTCATAGGTCCTGAGAATTTATACTTGTAACATGACTCAGAGTGGGGACGGGCCAAGCCAGAAAGACCAATGCTGTGATTAGAGGGTGGGGCTTTGAGCCCTGTGATATCAGCTTGACCCAGGGAAGAAAAAAGGGGTGTGGCCAATGAGCCAAACAATCATGGCTAGTAATGGAACAGGATACTGAATTTTGGCTGAACCTCCCTGGTGGAAATGCTCTGTGTATGGTCACACATACACAGAGTGTAGGAGAGGGTAACGGGTCCTGACTCCAGGAGGGGAGAACATGTGATCTTCCCAGAGGCCCCCTCTCCTGTATGTTTCTTCCTTTGGTTGGTTCTGATTTATCCTTCTCCTGTATAAAACTACTTATAACTGTGGCAGTTCCCCAAGTTCTGTGAGATGTTCTAGTGAGTTATCAGATCTGAGGGTGTAGTGGGAGCTCCTGAATTTGTAGCCAGCAGGTCAAGATGTGAGGTGGCCAAACTTGTGGTTGGTTCTGAACTGAAGGCAGTCTTATGGAGCGCTGTGCCCTTGTAAATTCTGGCCCAAGTCTTGGTAGTGGGCCTTAGAAGTCATTGCAATTTCCCTATGTATTTTAAGAAATTTAAAAATTATGATTTATAAGAGTAGTACGATGATACTCATAAAGCCTTCACTTAGAGTCTCCAGTTGGTTTTTCATTCCAATATTTGCTTTATTTCTCTCCCTTCTTACATTAAACTTACCACCCCCACCAACCAGTAAAAAGTTATAGACATAACATCCCCAGACACTTCTTGGCATATACTTCCTGAGAACCAGGATATTGTTCCACATAACTCCAATGTCATGATCACACCTAAGAAATTTAGCATTGATATCATAAATACTCTCTAATATATCGTATTTGTTTCCCTATTGTCCCCCAAATATTATAATAATGCTTTTTCTCTAGACTTATGATCCTATCAAGGATACATATTATATTTGATTGTCATTTTTCCCTCCTTTAATCTAGATTCTAGAACTGCCCCCTAGATTTATTTTATTTTATTTTTTTTGTCTTTCAGGACATATTTTTGAAGGAGCCAGGCTTCTTGTCTTGTATATTATCCCATGATCTTGATTTGTCTGTTTCCTCATGATTAGACTCAGACTATACATCGTTGGCAAGAATACAAATTTGATGCGGGCTGGCTGGGTCCAAGGACCCAGAGGGGGTCCCACAGTGTGAGCCAAGAGGGTCCTTGGCTTTGCACAGGATAGAAAACAAACATGAGCCAAGAGGAAGTGAGAGCAGAGTTTATTGAAGAGAGAGAAAGAGAGAGCAGATACAGACAAAGCATCTGGGAGACTTGGAAAGGATAGAAAAGTGGTTGTCATCTTTGCTTGAGACCTGGAGTTTTTGTTGAGGATTGTGGTCTGATACACCTGTCCTCTCAGGCATCTAGGAACTGGTCAAAACAAAGACAAGTGCCCGGATGTCCTCCTTAACTCACCCCCTGCAACCAGGAGTTGTAGTGTCCAGGTGTCTGGAGTTGGTGGTAGAATGTTCAGGATGACCTCAACCAGTCACTCCTTAGTTGTTATCTATTGTGCTGGAAGATTCCAAAGAGATCCGCAACTCCTTGACCTTTCTGAGGAGGACCTACATCATCGGTGCCATAAGGCATGTGTGAGATGCGGGTGCAGGTCCTGGCAAGAATAGAGGCAGGAAAACGAGCAAGAAGTAGTCCTTTGTGGGGTCCCTTCAGTTTTCCTGTCTCAAAGCTGCGTAGATGATGAAAGCTTTGTGCTGGAAAAGGGATAAAGTACATCAGCAGTGAAATACAGGTAGGCCCCACCTGGCACGTGGGAGAGCTGCGCAGGCCAGGGTGGAGGGGATGTCACGGAGCAGGAATGTTGGGGGGTCGCTGGAAGCTCCTCCTGTCTTCTCACTCTTCTGACATCATCTCATCCCAGCCCACCCCACGGTTTAGCGGGTTCTCACATGTCCACCTCCAGCACAGACCGCTTCCCCAAACCCAGTCCTTGTGTTCATCTCAAAGCTGTCTCTAAGGTCCCTCATACCCAACATGCTCAACACTGAACTCTGGAGTTTGTACACCAGCCCCTCGCCACGTGTGCTCCTCCTCTGCTCTCTATCTCCAGGAACGGCCACACCCCCACTCAGTTACCTGAGGTGGAAACCTGAGCCTCGTCCATGACACACGCTTCTCTTTCCCCTCCTCCTGTAGCCAGCCCAGCGCCAACTCCTGCTGTTTTGGCCACTTAAGTTCCTGTCTGATCCATCCACTCTCTCAGTCTTCTGTGCCACTGCCTTAGTCCGAGCCCCTACCCCGCTATAGTCCCCTAACGGCTCCTTAGGTTTCCACTGAGGCGCCCTTCTGAATTTGCTCTCCACAGAGCAGCCAGAGTATCTTATTAAAACATAAATTAAAAAAAAACAAAGATTTTATTTATTTGAGAGAGAGGTAGAGAGAGAGCATGAGAGCGCACGCACAAGTGAGGGGAAGGACAGAGGGTGAGGGAGAAGTAGACTCCCCACTGAGCAGGGGGGGCGCCCTTGGGGCACCATCCCAGGACCCCAAGATCATGATCTGACCCGAAGTTAGATGCCTAACCCACTGAGCCACCCAGGCGCCCCAGAATGTAAATTTTCTGATTCATTCCCTTGCTTAGAATCCCCCATTGTGTTGAAGAACAAAAATTCAACCCAGGGAATTTGAAGATGTAATTGGCTTTATTAAGTGGTTCATGAATGGGCAGGATCTCCTCTAGCAAGTACGGCCTTGTTTCAAGGAGTCGTACAAAAGGAACCTTTTCATAGATAGGAGGATGGGGCAAGAAGGTTATTAGCAAAAGAAAAGAAAGGATTATTTCTGATCAGCACATCTTTTGGGGGAGAGGGGAAGGGCATGACCGGGTTGTTTATCCTGCAGCTGACCTCACTGGTACTGATCAGGAAATTTCCCATTGAAGCTAGAAGGTCTCATTCCTGGGATGAGTTGAAACTGTAATTAAGTCTTGGCTTGCTGTTGGGAGGTGGCGGTCGGGGTGGGCACGGATGAACCCACTTGGAGCTTGTTTCTTTTTTGAAACAAATGGATACTCATTGCTCTTTCAACAAAGACCAAAATCTTTGCTAAGCCCTCTGGCCTCTATGTGCCCTGTTCTTCCTGGTGCTCTCTGCTCTGTGGCCGTACTGCCCCCCTTTTCAGTCTCTTTGACCCCAAACAACTTGTCTCCTGTTCCCTGGGATGCACACACATGTGTTTCACATGTGTTTTCCCTTCACATCTTGTCTCATTAGCCCTTTCCCTCTGGGAGTCTTCCCTGTTATACAATCTTAGACCACTCTGTTTTTCTCCCCTTTTAGCCCGCATTATAGATCGTGTTTCTGCAGTCCTTCAGTGTTTCTTTAGGATCTGTCTTCCCCACTGCCAAGTGCTCACGGGCAATGCCCATATCTGACCTCTCAGTAGCCCCAGCATGGGGGGCACAGTGCTGCAGTCGATAAACACCTGGGGGTGTGCGACCGGCCTGCCAGCGGGCCTCCCGAGAATTCCAAAGGGTAGGCGTGCTCATGCAAATGTGAGAGAATTCATTCCACACTCTCTTACAGTCTTGGTAAGTTTGATAAAATATTATCTATTTTATCTGCTCAGCCTGACTTCAAAAGTCCATGGGG